GGCTGGGGGGGGGAGGAGAAACGTGCAGCTCTCATCCATCATCTCCTCTGAGCACCTCTTCGGGACCAACGAGGCTCACGTGATTTCGGTGCTACAACCAGACATAAATCTGGGGGAGGCTTCTCGGTTCCAGATTCCAGGTTGGAGTAGAAGGCGGAGAGGAGGAAAGCAGGGGCCCCTATCCGCCCTCCTCGAGAGCCAGCTCCATTAAGTCTTGCCTTTTTTCCAACAGCCACCTGGCAGCCGTTCCCCCAGAGTTGAGAGGCTGAAGGCCTTCTGAACTCGTGGCCTGAATCGCTTTTGTTTTCTTCTACCCTCCCCTTCCTTTTTTCTTTTCATGCCATGTCTTCCGTTCGCCCTCTTTTAGATGGCCAAGCTGAAAGCAGGGACTAGCCTCTCCCTCCCTCTCTGTTTTTAACTAAATGAGAAACAAAACAACTTTGTGAAGGTTTTGGGATGCCAGGAAAGGTCCAAAACAATGAGCCAGCAAGGCCTCTGAAGATTGAGGCTTTTTTTGCATCAACAGGGCTGTGCTTTGCCAATAAGAGCGGGGAAAGTGTCCCTGTGCCTCTTAAGAATGAAAATGAGGCAGGGAGAGAAAGGAAGAAGGATAGCAACGTGGTTGCACACACTCCTCAACTGACCTCCCTCCCACACTGGGAGGATGGTTAAGCCTTAGAAGGTCCTTGTCTGAGATATTTCTTCTGGAAAGCTTGGCTTGCCTCTCTTCCCTTGCTGGGGAAGCGAGGCTGGACTGTGGTCTCGATTCAAGAGAAACTCTCAAGAGAATCCAGAGTTTGGGGGAAAGCGAAGAGAGAAGGCAGAAGGCCAGCCCAGAGGAGAGGCGCAGAGGCTTCTCAGAGCCTGGAGCGGGCACCCAGTCCAAAGCTCTTTCTCCGATGCCAGCAAAAGCAGGACCTGGCACAAGGTGTCTCTCTTCCCCTCGAGGGGTGGGATCGGGAAGCAAAGTCCACGTTCCAAAGTCCCCTCGCCGGAGCCTGCAGAGGCAGACCACAAAAGAGGAAAGGCACGACTGGGAAGGGACAGCCATGGCCACCCGAGGGAAAATCAGCACCCTCTACGATGCCCTCGTGGTGGGTGCGGGCATCCAGGGAGCCTGGGCAGCTTACCACCTGGCCAAGAGAGGGCAGAAGACCCTGTTACTGGAGCAGGTATCGGCAGGGCCTCAGCCTCCCCACCTTTTCTGTTCCCTTGCCAGTGGGCTAAAATCTGGGCCCTGCCTCCCGAACAAGGCTGGTTCTCCTAGCCCCCCTGGAGACCCATCGGTGAACCGAATAAATTCCCCATTGCAGGAGGACCAAGCAGGCCTAACCCTGCTTTGCTTCCAAATCAGAGGCGACCTCATTCCAGGTGCTGGGGTGACCCTTCCCTTCCTCTTCCTCTCCCCTCCCCTCTAGTTCCCTCTCCCTCACACCCGAGGGAGCTCCCACGGACAGAGCCGGATCATCCGCAGCGCCTACCCGGAGGCCCATTACGTGGCTATGATGCCAGAGGCCCACCGCCTCTGGGCGGAGCTGGAGACCGAAACTGGCACCAAGCTGTACAGGTGAGAGAGAGGCTGCTGGGCTGGAGGTGGCTGGGGGGGGGGAGAGCTGGCCCAATGGACGATGGGGTGGGGGTGGTACGGCAAAGCACCCTCACAGAACATTGCAAGTCACACCCTGCGTGTCTTGGACAGTCCTTGGTGGAAGGGGGGGGATCTGGTCTAAAGCCCCTTTCAATCATTACATCTGGAGCGTTAAAGCTTGAGGTCAGAAAAAAGTGTGGGGTATTTTGTTGGCAATACGGGTCCCAGAAAGCTAGGTTGTTTTGGCCAAGAACACCCACAATCCAACAAGGCCTGGATCTGATGCTCTGAGGCTACCCAGACGGCCACCTCCTTGTGGCACCCGGAGGCGGTTCGGCTGCTCTCCCAGGTTTTCCACGCCGTCTTCCACCCCATGTCCTGAAAGGCGGAAGGAGCCTTTTAGCCATGAAACAGCCTGGAATTTCTGGCCCAGCCCCCTTTGTGCCTCTGGACCTGCTTGCCACTGGAACACAAGCCCTGGGGACCTCATCAACGGGGAAAAAAATGCCTGGCCTGGTAAGAGAACCCGGGCACCTTCCCCCTTGCAAGCCAGACTCTGTCCATCTCGATCCAGCTCCTCTCCTCTGCCCTGCAACGCCACTCTGAGCAATCCACTGAAGGCAGAGACCTTCCCCACCACCGACTCGGGGGCCCATTTTCCCCTGGAGGTGCCAAAAGGTTAATGCTCTCCGTAGGGCAGCTAGCTGCTCTACCCATTGAGCCCTGCGGCCCCTTCTCAAAGGAGGACCTTGCTTCTCCTTCCAGGAGGCCTTCCCTGTGTTTCAGGGCCTGCCC